TGGGAGAAGAGCAATTTACTGCAAATAAATACAACACAAATACTAATTTCCATATTCAGATTCAACATGTCTCTAGACAATTGCAACAGTGAATCATCTAGAATTGGGCGCAAGTATTTTTGACTGATGCACTCTTCCACTGGAGGTCTGATTTACAAAATCAGCTCTAGGTGTGGTATATTAAATATTAGGACTTGTACCTCCATAATGCTCCTGGGAATATCATATCTCATCTTTGATTCTGTTGTACCTCCAGAGAATCCAAATGATCAAGTTGCAAGCTCCTTACATCTTCCATTTTTCAGGCTGCTGCTCTGTGGGCCTGTCGGGTGCAGTGGATTGCTTTCAGGTGCCAACTGGTAGGATGCCATTGAAAAGCAAAGACAATTAAGACCTCTTCCACAGCGATAGAAATTATTGTGCTGGAGATTATTGAAGAAGTAACTTGAAAAGCAGAGAATGCTTTGAAATCTAAGCCCTATATAAATGAAGCTAAAAATAATTGTAGTCAAATTAATCTTTAACAAGTAGCTACATTTAGAAAGTTTGCTATTAATGAATATTTAATTGATGACTCTGTTTATATATTATGACCTATCAGATCTCCATTTACATCACTTTATTAATTGGACAGTTATTTTCTAAATATTAAGAGAACCAGAGATTGTTAACTTTTAAATTTGATTAAGATGTAATTCTTACTTTAAGGAGGGATATGATGTCTCTTTGTACATGGCTATAAACGTTACCATCAATAACATCATCACCATCATTATTGCCATCATAGCTGTTATTCATCCATTCACTGATTTATTCATTCTTTAAATTGTCTGTCACACACCTAGATTGTACCCAAAAACTGTTCCAAATGCTAGGAATATATAGCAGAGACTAACAGATGAAGTCAGTTTCTGACATGAGACTTCCATTCTGGAGAGCAGAGACAGATGAAATGAACACTTTATATATTTCATTGTTTGATATATGATTAATTTTAACATGAGATATAATGCACCCCCATTGCTATATGGAAAATAAGACTGGATGAGGGAAAATAATTAAATAAGAAATTCTATTTAGAGTGGGTGGTCAAATGAGGCTTCCCAGAGAAGAATTTGAGATAAGACTTGAATAAATGTGAAAGAATGACCTGTGGCAGAATAATGAGGAAGAATATTCTAATCAATTCACTTACTGTGAACTTTCTTACAGTACATTGAAGTAGGAATTTTGTTTAAATATCTTGTTTTAATATCTGCAACATTTAATAATAGTTATCTTTATTAATTTAGTTTATATTAAAAAAATGAGGCTCAGCAAAATGACAAGAAAACATGTTTCAATCAAATAGTTATTAGGTAGCAGAGTTGGATTTAATCACATTGGTCCAATGTATTTTAGTCAAGTTGTTCAGAGGAAGGAAAATCGCATCTGGTTTGCATAATTAGGGAAAATTACCAAGAGAACAGACTGTTGAGCAGGATGTCAAATGATTGACAGTGTCTATAATTGGATGCATTTGAAGTGTTGAATGGAAAAGAATTAGGAATGGAATGGTGACGTGAAGGATGAAGTATCTGAGGCACACATGAGAGACTGGTCAGCAGTATGGGGTGCAGCGTTCTTTCTCACAAGGAGAACAAACTGGTTCAAGAAGCTGGAACTTGGATATAAAACAATTGTTATCCTAGACTCACATTTGCAATCAATTATTTAGATAACAGTAGGTACATTAAAGGACTGTGTGAAATAAAGTAATATGTAATATCACACTTTAAAGTGTTATTGCAGTAACAGAATGTAAGGTGAATGGAAAGAGGAGAGTTATAGTAAGAGTTCATTGAGTCCACAGATATTAAACAAGGACTGGAAGTTGTCTTAGGCATTGGTGAGTCCTTTTAGAGGAACCACACTTCTTACATGCATGCTTTACGAAAAGCAAAATATTTGCAACACAACCAGGTTTTACCATTATTAAAATTGTGTATTTTTTCCCGTCGTCCATAACTGGGAAATTATAAATTTATTTGAAAGCAGTATAAAAATCAGAATAGTTTTTATATAACTATGTTTTTTTGAGATAACAGTTTTAAGTCTAACCATGTGGGGTCCAGTTCATTCCTTGATTCATTCATTGATTGACTGATTCATACATTTACCTGAGACATATTTGGTTTTAGAAAAGAATATTATGTTGGTTAAAAGTGTGGTTTCTAAAGACATACTTTATAGTCTGGGACATGAAATCTCCAATTAATTATCAATAAGTTGATTTATTAATCTCTATTCCATTTTTCTCACCTGCGAATTTGTGAAAATATTAGTAATATCACCTGATTTTATGATTAAAATATATTATGTATGTAAATCACTCAGTATACAACAAACACATAGCAAGAGATCTAAGTTATTATTAGTGTGTAAGACAGTGTCTAGTTGATGTTACATAATTACATAATATTCAAATACTGAAAAGCACATTCTGAAATCATTTCTCTATAATATGCATTGAATTTGAGTGATGAGTAAAGATCAAAATCAGTTTATTTAAAATTATAAATTACTCTTGATTTTTTACTGGACTGAGACTTCAGTTATACTTGCTAAATCCCATTTGTTTAACTTTGCTTACGCTGTGAACCAATGATATCTGACTCATCTCCCTTCCATTTAATGAATATGAAAGTATTTATTATCTTGACCCAGACACCCACTTCCTATTTATTGCTGCCCCTTCTTTCATTCTCTTAGTTTTTGTGATGAGTATTTTACAACTTTGTGATCATTGTAGGCTTTGATTAATATAATTGAGCTCTCTAGCCTATCATTCTGCATTTAGAATAGTTCTGGAGTAGGGCATTAATGTAGAGATAACTGATCATCAGCTATACAGATTGTGACAAGGGAACACACCTAGAAATCCACAGTAACCTTGCATTCTAGAACAAGATTTATGATCTTAAAACAGCTATTGCTTGTCTTGATGTTGTTAATCTAATGTAATAACATTATAATGTTTGGGGCTTAGTGTCTTGGTTTATGTGGAAAATGTGAAGGGAAATTTTAACCAAATATAAGAGGAATAGAGTTGTTGGATGTGTGCATTAGTCAGCCCAAAAACAGTGTTGTGAAACAAGTCATTTAGAAAGGAATTTACTCCCGTTAAATTTGGTACATTAGTGAAAGACAAATGTAAAGTGATTGATCTGGGGAAGAGAGAAATACCTCCTATACATGGCTTCTGCTTGCCCTTGCAAAGGACCTATTTCCTTAAATATGAAGTGTTTATGGCATAGTTGAATGTCAACCTCACTATATGAAAATTTGCCTCAATGCTTTTTTCTGAGTCACAGGGACCTGTTTATAACTTTTAAAATATTTTTTTCTACTTTTCTTTTTCCTCCATTTCTTATCAATTTATTTTTCTCAAGTTTTATTAATTTATCAGTCATTTACATAACTACATAATGTGGGGAATGCAATGTCTCACTTCCAGATGTGCACATCCTCCACCAAAATCCCAGTGCCTGTCTCCTGTTCACTTCTTTCCCCAAACTCTTCTTCTCTCCTCCCTTATTGCCCTTACTAGTCAGTATGTTTTTGCACAGAGTATAAGACTCATTTTCATTGGTGCTCTGTCAGTTTATTTTCTTTTAATTTATATTCCACAAATAAGTGAAACTGCATGGTGACCATCTTTCACTTTCTGACTTATTTCACTTAGCATGATCACTTCAGGATCCATCCATTTTGACCCAAAAGGCACTGTTTCATCTTTTTTTATACCTGAATAGTTTTATATTTTTTTGTATATCTTCCACAATTTCTTTCACCAGTGGTATGTTGGTGGGTATTTACCATGACTCCATGCTGTAGCTCTTATAAATAAAGCTGCTATGAACATAGGAGTGCATAAATATTTTTGTATCAGCATTTTCATTTTCTTTGGGTAAGTATCTAGCAGTGATGCTGCTGGGTCATAATATATCTTTGCTTAAAGCAAGATAGCCCTGTGAATTTCTGGGTGATTTGTGTGCACACTGTAAACTGTGTGCCTTTAAGACTTATTACATTTGTTCCCAAATCACTTAGCTATTTTTGAATAAAAATTACTTTATTGAGAAAGGTAGAATAGAGGTTGGTGGAGGCTGTAGGAAAAAGAAATGAGAGGCTCAGTATTTTATAAACTGTATTGCAAAGAAAATCTGACATTTACTTCAAACCAATGTGGTCTGTCCTTTGCATTGCTGACTTATGCTCACACACATTTAGTCAACAGAGAACACAGATCATCTGAATCATATTTCTCAAGGAGCCTTTTCATTTAAAGCTGTACTCTATGGTGTGAGAGATGCTCAAGTTTATCCTTTTCCATCATTCTTACCTTTTTGCCAATATCATTTAGGCTACCCAGGGACAGGACATCATAAGCCATTGATATAAAAACATTCATTTAATTTAGTTACTGCATTCTGTTGATTTTCATGAATGGGGAACTGTTTAAAAAGGACCTATTGTGTTGACATAGGTGCAATGCTCCTCAGTGAGGGGTATTTTGAATGATTTTCCCATTTCTAATCATTTTTTTCCTCTTATCCAGTTAGAAAAATACTCTAGTACTTCAAGAATATTAGTATTTACATTTTTGTAGGTTCCATTGTAGCAAGAAAAAATGTAAATGAACACACTGTATTTCCATACTTGTTTTTCAGAGTTTTTTGACTATTGTTTAGTGTTTATAGTTAATGTATTTTAACACTATGAACATTTTGTACAGCACGCATAACACTGCTGGTTTGTCTTAAGGAAATAAGATTGCCCCCCCAAAGGTAGTCATTTATAATATATGCACCTTTGAATAATTAAATGAGATACCAAAGAGGAAATGGATTCTAATCAGCTTTCAAACTGTGATTGTGCCATGCACTGAATCATCTCTTCATGAATATATTTCTCTTGGAGCACGTATAATTATGAAACTTTTTTTTCTATCTCGGTAGGAACTGGGAAGTAACAGCCCTCCTCAGAGAAACTGGAAGGGAATTGCTATTGCCCTGCTGGTGATTTTAGTTGTATGCTCACTCATCACCATGTCAGTCATCCTCTTAACCCCAGGTAATCTGTCTTTATTCCTGTCTTATGATTTTATTGTGGATGATAATTTCACATTCAAATGCTTTAAGAAGGTGGCCATATGTGGTATCTTAGGACACGTTAGCATTGGTTTAAATAAAAACAAATTGCATAACCAGACATTTTGCAAATGGCACAGTAATTCTATGCCTCAAATATCATGTAAGATATTTTGAGGAAGCTGAAATGTAAAGATATATGTTGAGAATGCCAAGGAGTTCTATGGGCTTTATTGCCAATTAGAGACATGTTTGTCAGGGGATATTTCACTTTTATTATGGGTTGAAGATGTGGCAGTGGAATCTAGAAGTTCTGTATGTAGGTGACAGCCCAAGTGTTTATAACTTTGGTAAGAGAGAATTTGAGTGAGCTAAAGTTCTAGATGCATCTTCATTATTTTTCCATCTCTTCCTCTGGATTTTACAATGTTTTCAGTTTTTTCCTCTTTAAGGAACCTCTCCAAATTGTCCTTGCAATGATCTTTGGACTATATTCTTTAAATTAAGGAGTGCAACATTAGTATATAAATTATCAAGACTTTATTCTTCTTTGGAGATTATTTTAGCACTGAGAAGTTTTATTATTTAGTAGATTCTAATAAGGAAGACAGAGAAAAATTGTCCACTTTTTAAAATTCCCCAAACTGTCTTCCAGGAAAAAAATTAACTTGGCATGCTATTACAACCCACCCAACTAGTTTTCTCATAGACTGGACACCTACATATGGATCAATATTAAAAAAATGGAAGAATTATTTCTGGGATATGGTTGAATTAACCCAGAAATCAACTGATAATATAAAATTTACAGCATGTTATTGAATGTTATGTATACATATGTATGTAGTTGTATGTATGTATTGAAATACATGTATATACACACACACACTTTACTCCCTTACGCTTTATTATATATGAGCTCCTTAAACATTTCAAACTTACTTTCTCATGTCCAAAATGTGATTAACAGAAATTCTATTTCATAGTCATTTAGTCAACTAATTATGGTGACTAATTATACAAACTGCAATATCAATTGCTTGTAAATTATACCATCTCTGAAAAATATTGGTTTTGCAATGTATAAATTGCCCAAAATATAGTTTGCAGTTGTTATTTAACAAATGAAGACATTGAGGACGAAATTAAGGGAGCCAGGAGGAGGGAAAGGGGAGAGAAATTTTCTTTTAAATAGAAAGAAAAGAAAATTCCCTGGTTAAAGCCAACTTATCGAGCATTCTCTTCAGGAACTCTCTCTTAACTACCTCATTTGTACATCTGCAGTACAATGTAATCTAGCAACGTGTTGGCTTTCAGTTGCTGCAGAATGCCAAGAATCTTTGTTAAACGTAGATGAGCTTATGTTCAGCATAGTGTTTCATTTCAACATAAGAATTTTAGCACAATTATTAAAAAATGAATGTCTCAGGTTTATTGCCTTCCATCGGTGACTATTAATCAGATGGAGAAAATTGATGCCATAATGCCTATGTTTCTCATAAACTTTCTTCCATTCAGTTTCTAGTACCCTTTAACTGCTGATTCACTTTCTCAGATTTTACTTTTAGTTTCTGAAGCCACAATGATATTTTGGGAGTTTGATATAACAAAGACCTTATAAAGTGGGCCGGTTACTAAATTAAACTTCCTTTTCTTAACCCTTTCCAAGTTGTCCCATTATAAAAACAGAGGATAGTTGCCTTCATTTTGTTCTGCACATATTCATGTGTTAGAGGAAGGGCTCTGACCAAGACCTGTTTTAAATCTTGAATATATAATGTACTTGAACATGGAAAATTATTTAACCTATCTCATGCTTCACTTGTACAGATGCAATATATAATACCAACTTTACAGGGCTATTAGAGGCAACAAAGGAAATAATATAGCCCAAATGTTTAGTATAGTGTCAAGCACTGCTATTAGTCCTCTTCTTATTGCTATCATTCAGTACTTATTGACCACCAGAAACAATTCTATGAAGGGCATTTACAAGAAAAATTATAGACTCTATGGAATGTAGATTTGAGATTTTGATTTTAAATTATGACAGATGAAGAAGGAATAATTATTTAAACTGAAGTTAGTCTTTCAATGTTTTTTCCTTTCTTTCTTTATTCATTCATGCATAGAGAATTCCAGAGTTCTTAACAATATTGTAAGTGCTGTGGTAGATGCACTGGTACTGCACTCCTATGCTTTATGCCTATCTCCTCCAGTCTCCTTTCCTAACTACACAAACCACACAACCACACATCTCTAACCAAAGGCTTAATTTCACATGAAACTAACTATGGCTATGAAAGTAAAAATTATTAGCTGTACTTACAATTTGCTATGTATATTTCACATACCACATGTTCAGATGTCTTTTTATTTCAGTATTATTTTTGGCAGTGATGTTTTAAAATGAAAAAATAAAGATATGCTGGAGTGGAAAAGGTATTGTTATAAGAAGCAGAACAACCATGTTCTACACTACTCTTTGTCAACTCAATGCTACCAAGAGCCTGAAAGATTCTATAAATTGATGATGTGGGTAATTATAACGATGATGCGAGGAATATGCTTGAATTATGAGCAAATAATCCACCTTTATTACATTATCTTCTTCATGGCCTCAAGTTAAACAGCAGGACAAAATATAATGCCAGAAGATTAACAGCTTGTGGCCCCACACTTGAGTTCATAAGTCAGGGCACACTCTGAGTGTATCTATTCTTGCCTCTATCATGAGTCTGTGAAAAGCAGTTTAACCTATGCTTCTGATGACTAGAATTTGCATCAAGACCATTAGTTTGGGCTTTTCCATTGTTGTTTGTTTTTTCAATTTTTTTTTAGACACCCATGTATATTTTTTCACTCTATAGGATTTCTCCCCTCAGAAGCATCACCATAGGTTTCCCCAACACTGAAGTGCCACAGTCCTCCACCCATGGAATACTATTCAATGATCAAAAAAACATAAACTCATGCCATTTGTGACAACATGGAAGGACCTAGAAGGAATTTTTCTAAAGGAAATAAGCCAGAAAGAGAAAGATAAATACCAGATGGTTTCGAGACATTCATAAGGAGAGGGCAACAAGAAAGGAAAGTAGAGAACAGGGTGGGAGGAGAGTGCAGTGGGAAGTGTGTTGCCGTTCTTATCTCTGATCAGATTGCAAAGCTCTCATGGTTCCAAGTCTTCCTCTTCAAACTCTCAGGCTTGAGACCCCTTAGCTGTGCTAGTACAGATCCACAAAAGAAAACCTCCAAGAAGCACAAGGGTAAAACAGATCATACCTCTTCCAGGTATGGACACATTTGCACATATTTGTCCAGAAATATGTCCCCACGGCCTACCTTTCTTGGTAAACCACTTATGCAAATGGAAACTTCCAACCAGGAAGGTGAATCCATTTCAGGGGAAAGTTCTGATCCTGAAATTATTCAGTAAGTTAGTGAACCTTTTAGGACAAAGAACTGATCTAAAATAATATCTCCAAAATGGGTAAGGAGTCAGAAAATCCATACTCTGTTTATAACTAGATGATCTTGGATGAATAATTTATGTCCTTTGATGTTTTGTTGAAGAAAATACATCTTTGGATCGCCAAAATGTGAAGTGATATCTTGAAGTTTATTTATAACTCTAATATCTACTATGTATATAATAACCACAATAAAAACAGTAACAATAGTGACTTTTTTAGTAACAAATATATCAGCCAATTAAAACTGGTTGACATACTAAGCCTCTTCTCCCTTGAAAATATATCCAGTGAATTTAGTGGTCTTATTTTTTGTGGGGGGTGGCATACAAAAGTTATCTAGTCTAAGAAATGATTTAGAAGCTGTTTTGCTTAAAATAGCACCACATTTTATGGGTAAGTGCTAAGGAATTCATGCCTATAGACAGAGTAACACATGTTCATTGTAATCTTGATTTGATTGCAAATTTTATTACAGAAGTAATTTGACACAGGTGTCTTAATTTACAAAATTTTCAGCAACTTCCCTGCCTTGTGAAGAGAAATCCTAATTATTTTCAAGAGTCAGTTAACCATTCCAGTATTTCTTTAATAAAGGAACTATTTCTAAAGCAGGAAATTTTTCACTCCATTTTTTTTCTGATAAAGAGAAGACTTATGTAGATACATGGGTCACTCCCTTGTATTTTTTTCTTCCTGTATTGAATTTACTGATACAAAAAGGAATGGCCACATTTATTTTCTCAATATGTGGCGATAAGATAAATAATTACACTCTACAAATATATGAGTGTATATTCATGCTTAAAGTTGAAAATCAGTTTTATGTAGCAATGCATTTACTTCACAGGCTCATTTATATTTAATATGTAGAATGAGAATGAACATGGTCAGGAGACATTTCATACAGAATATAATTACCCATTTTAAACTATTTTGAGAAGAGTGATGCATATTTTATGAGTTAGAATGTATTTAGTAGAGGGCATTATTCAAACTCTTCAGTCTGGTTGCCATATTGAGGCAGTCACTTGTGTGCCCTGTGTATGTTTCACCATTTTTTCTCGACAGTGACCTGTTCCTCTTTGACAGGTATCTATAATCAGTCATAACAAAACAAGGTCATCAGGTGAATTTACTGATATGTCTGGCTATGGACAGCATTGTGTAGCCCCAATATGGTATCTTCAACATTAGCTCTCACTTTGTTAAGCAATTTTCCATTCCTGTAATACTCTCTCTAGGCGAGCATCCTGATTTGGCCTTTACAAGTCTATGAGAGTGTAAGCTTAAACCATCATTTTCATGTGTAAACCATCAAAAATATGCTTGATCTCAGTGAAATAAGAATTTAATAGGACTCATCTATGTTTAAATGTCCTTATTTTCACTTCTAACAGTATCTCTATTAGTGATTTTATATTAGGCTTAAATGCCATGTTGGGGAAGAATTTATGCAAGTTGAGATTGCCATTGGAATGTGTGATTAGGTGAGTACTTAATGTCAGGC